AAAAAAAAAAAAAAAAAAACAATTGATGTGACTAAAGCCAAGAGCTTCCCTTAGTCAAAGTTCTTTGTGCTCATCGGCCACGCTGACCACAACTGAACAATGTGACTCAGCTACAGAAGGGGACATACAGTAACATAGTATATACTTATTGGATGAGCTTTCAAGGGAAGCACATACTTTCTGCCAGCACAGCTGTGTCTCAGACAAACCTGGAAGGATCTGGGGTCCCAGTGAAGTAGTGAATGCATGGCGAGCTTCTGTTCTGAGGCAGAACAGACACTACGCTGGCTGTGGTAAGGAAAGACTCGGAGTCTACACAGACTCCACTGGCTTTGTCCCGCAAGATGTCGATCATAGTCTGCACAGTGATGCTTTCTGTAAAGAAAAAAAAAAAAAAGACAGAAAGAGAGAAGCTATAACAGTGGCAGGTTGTTAACCAAAATCCATTCATTCCTTTTCCATTTTAGTAACAGAACCCTTGAATGGATAGCTGGGAACATTAACTGCCCAGCTACAGACTACATTTCCCAGCTTCCCTTGTGGCTACGTGTGGCCACATGACAAATCTTGACCAATGGGAGATGAAATGATATGTGCAACTTTCTCGTCACCCCCATAAAAAGGACAGTTTGCCCTTCACCTTTCCCCTCCTCTTGCTGCTGCCGAGGACATGCCTGCAAGTGGACCACAGATGGAAATTCTGTGTTCAAGCAGAATAACCCACCAGCCCTGGACTATCCATATACATCTAGACAGTAACATGGGAGAAAAATAAGCTTCCATTGTCTTTAAGCCATATTATTTTGGAGTTTCTTTGTTGGAGCACTTAGCAATTCCTCAACAAATGCAGTACGCAATAGAATGATATCCATAGGAAAGTACATGCAATCTATGCACACCACTAAGCAAGCTCTCTCGTACATTCTTGCTGGTTAGAGTTAATACGATATTTGGAGAATGGCCTCTGCAATGGCAGAGATTCACACAGAGAAGTATTTAGAATATTCAGAGCCATTATGACTATTGGCTCTGACTTCAATTAAACGTGTCAACAATTCCTTAACTACACAGGACCCCAGCTTTACATTTTCTCTCTCTGATCATAATTCATTAAAACACTATTCTTACGGTCTGTGTTCAGAAAGATGGAATCAAAGCATCACATAGGGGAAAGGTGTCTTAAACTTCACTAACACAACTCAAATCCTTTTTGTAAGTTTCTATTTATAATATGTCATACCTAAAAATATTAGCTATAAAAGCCTTGATTTCTTCAACTACCTAGTGTTCAAATGTTCTCATTGTCTCATAAATGAGTTTATTGATTTAAATCAGGATCCAATAGGTTAATAATGTCTCAAATCTCCCCTAATCTCTGCCTCTCGCTTTACTTCCTTGCATTTTATTTGTTGGGCCGTTTCTCCTATAGAATTTCCCACAGTCTGAACTTTGCAGATGGCACCCCCTGGTGTTTCATTTAATGTTCCCCCACCCTCTGTATTTCCTGTAAACTAGTAGCTAGATCCAGAGGCTTCATCAGATTTAGGTTTGATGTTTTGGTGGGACTATGTCACATCTGGTATTATATACTTTTATCAAGCTAGTTTTCTTTTTAACTCTTAGGGGTTTTTTTTTTTAAGCTCTCATTTTAAAATGGATACTTTCTTACCTTCCTACCCTGAATCCATTAATTAAGCTCCAGGGCAAAAGTCCTTGAAGTGTTCTTCTATATTAAGCGTCAGCAAACTTTTTCTTAAAGAACCAGATAGTAAATATTTCAGGCTTAGGGGCCACACCATCCCTGTTGTAACTCACTGTGAAACTGTGCTCCTATAACATGGAAACAGCCATAGACAATCCCTAAATAAGTGTGTATGGCTGTGTTCCAGTAAAATTCTGGCTGCCAACGGGTCACAGTCTGCCAACCCCCGTTCTGAATGATCACAGGTTTAACTTACAAAACACAAAACACAAATATCACTGGCAAATATAAAATGTGGCCACGGTGGCTTCTTTGGAAGGGTTCCCACTCAGACACCAAAGTAACAAGCTATCCAGTCACCACATGTACCTCAATTTGGATTCTGATTGAGTCAATAACTGGAGGGAAGACAGAGGGTTTGGGAAGAGAATTCAGGTCAACAGTTCAACTCAATACATGTTCACGGAGCAAAAGACTATAATGGGCACCACAAGGGGATCCCACGATGAATAAAGGACAGCGCCCCGCCCTCAAGGCCCAGCAAGCCAATGAGAGAGGTAAACGCAGAAGACAATAAGTCAAATATACAAAGGCTGAGGTAGAAGGAAGCCTGCAATAAGTATCATAAAGACACCGATGTTTAAAGGCGAAATAACGTCAGAAGGAGAGGAACCTTCCATGGATAAGGAAGCGTCCTACGACAAGAGATACATGTCGTCACCCTGCCGGCTCCTCAGGGGCGTCAACACGGGTCGGTCTCTATGTACAGGGTCTATTGTCATCTCCTCCTCTTTGCTCACCCTCCTAAGATCAGACAAGTTCTCTGAAACAGCTACAAGACAACCGGTATGAGAGGGAGAATCATAAGGGATATGCAAACTCACCTTCTTTCTTGTCTATGCTGTCTTTGCCCGCACAGCAGTCTAGATGGTCATCAGCTGAAGAAAAAACTTCAGAAAAATTGAACTCATCCTCTCCCGTCCACCAGCCTTGACTCTGAGCATAACTCCTGAGTTCAGGGTGCTCCGCATCGATCTTAGTGGTGACTGAAAGCTGATTGCAAATGCACTTCACTCCCTCTGCAGAGAGTACAAAGCCCCGTTAGTTGGAAATGTGCTTAGAAAGACTTAGTCAAGAAATGGAAATTTACAGGGAATCCCTTCTCTGCAATTCAACTGTAACTACAGAGAGGAATCGATTCTATTTTTGAAGACAGAAACGCACAATCCTTGGTCCTCTTTTAAGGAGACCTCCCAGAAGGTTTGACCAGTCCTGACAGGGCATTACCACATTTTATTTATTTATTTTTAAGATTTTATTTATTTATTTGAGAGAGAGAGAATGAGAGAGAGCACATGAGAGGAGGGAGGGTCAGAGGGAGAAGCAGA